TTGCTAATTTAGCTAACCTGTAATTTCGCTAATTCAAGATGTCGCTAATTTAGAATAAAGTTTATTCTCACAATGAGATTGTTGGCATTTTAGCTAAATTAGGATTTTGTTAATTCATGTATAGAGTCAAAAACGCTAAATGGCATATAGACAAAATCTAACAAAAACCGAAGAAATAATTTAATAATATATATCCATAAAAGGACACTAGAAAATTATTTTATTGTGTGCAAAATGTATTTTATTTGTATGACGCAGCATTCCTAAAATCAAAGAAAACACTTAATGGGAGCAAAGCAAATTGTTGACAGTTAAGCCATAACAAATATTCAAAAAAGTAATCGTTAAACTTAATTGATAAAAGAATATAATAGTGCAATGATGGTAACTCAGTAAATTAAAGTACCTAAACAATGGAGATCTATGTGCTACTATCCTTCCAAGAACTTAATATATTCCCTTATTATCTACAAGCATGTCACGAGAAATAATTAAAATATCACATAAATACACCTGCCGGCAATGGGGGCAACTCTAAAGTAAAGATTTTATCATTGTAATGTAATATAGTTTATCTGTCCGATCCCATGTGTACAGAACATGTATCTGCTAATTTAATTTCTCTGTTTTATGGCAGTATCTCATACGACGCACTTCACTAGCCGTCCCCATTTTATGATTGTGGTATCTGTTTCATCAAATTAGTAACCATCAAAATAGTTTTTTGGGAGAAGGGTTATTTATTATATAACATGCACAGAAAACTTACTATATAAATTACAACATACAAGCATGATTCGAACTGACGTCAAGATTACGTCACTGTAGGCAGACGCACCTTACATACAATACGACACCGAGTATCCTTACAAGACAGCTAGAATCAGGAAATTAACTCAAATTGTTGGAACTCCTTATTTGGATTGGATATTCAACAAGGATTAAATATGTTATTTCCAATATGTGATTCCACATTAGTACTGTAATACTCGAAGCTTGTGTTTGTATTAGCGTAGTAACCCTCGTTTTTTGAAGTTTGTAATATATATTGGTACATTTCTACACTGCATTGATATGTAGAACGGTCAATGGTCAGCCATTTCTGAGAACCTCCAAGTGTTTGGGGATGAATGAAAGTTTTTCCTCAACTATTTGAAAAAGATAACTGAGTTGGGCTCTAACAACGTCTTGATGGGAGTTATTACATAAGCTTTTTTTGCATTCGAATGTAAGGAAACGTTGGAAATGGATATGCAAATAGATAGCTTTCCCAATGGAACCTATGAAACGAACTAATTCTGTTTTGACTTTGTTTATTTTTAATCAAACATTCGAACTTGTCAAATTCTATCACACGCAATATATTGTGCATGTAAAGCAGCTTTGAACAATTGGCCAAGTTCAGTAAGCAACCTGTAATGATATGTAAGCCACGTACAGTTATATTAGAACATCTTAGTATTATAACATTGTTGCCATGGTTACTTGCATCATATGGCATAATTGATGTAACAAATAATGCCCGGATGTCATGGAGGAACATAGATGTTAGGCAGTCGTTTGTTTTTTTTCAACACGGGCTTATAACAAGGGAACAGTATAATATACGAATTTTACATTGCTGAAAGGTTGTTTTATGCGTCTTTTGTTTTTATTGCTCTTTCAAAATATCTATTACTTGTTTGGTGGTATGCATATGGTTCATTTCAATTTATATTTATGATATCATGTACGTGTGTAAATATGACTTTGTTTAATAGCACCTAAGTCATTCATACTCATATGCTACTGTAACGATTTTAACGTATGCTTGTCTGTGTCACGGGGTGTAGAGTGAATGTGGGCATACACGACCTATAATACGGAAATTGCTCTATTCACAAGTGAAAAAAAAAAACAATGTTCCGTATGTTGCAAAGATGTTGGCATGATATTGATGGTACCCCTCGTCTCTATAGACATACACGCACCACAGGATACAATGACATTTTACAGCGTGAAACACGCATTGTATGGTAAGCTATTGTGAACAAGGCGTTTTTTTTAAAGAATGCAATGCAATCTACCATTTCCCGTTTATTGCGAGGTCCCGCGTTATGCGTGAAATCGAACGTAAAAACAGGACAAACAAAGGTCATAGCGTCGTAGTGGCGTCAAACATCGCGTGGGATTCGACAAACGCGAAAGTATTTTGCCTTACACATTTGATGATGGTCAATTTCGATGATGCAATATTTCTCTGTTAATGATCTGTCCTTCGACTTTGAACTGTGAAAAATTCGAGTTCAAAATCACATAGTTTGATTTTCGCGGCAGACGTTCGGTCCGGTCTCACAGATAAACGGAAAATCACCCAATTAAATGCCTATTTCAGCCTTTACGTTTATTTAAATGTTTAAATTACTAGTAATTTGTGGATGGTATACATAATGTAAGTTGTAACCAATTCTGTATGGCTATATGTTATATTTTTGACAGTATATGTAAATACAGATAAGAATATGGCAGACAAAATAGAGAGAAATAAATGTTTTAATCTGTTGATGAAATTTATCTCAAACGTGGCAATGTTATGCAATACATAGCTTAACATGCCAGTATACATGGGATGACATAACACGTGTGCATGTAGATACTTTTGATAATTTTATTTATTTATTTATTTATTTATTTATTTATTTATTTATTTATTTATTTATTTATTTATTTATTTATTTATTTATTTATTTATTTATTTATTTATTTATTTATTTATTTATTTATTTATTCATGTCTTCGACGCAAGCTATCCTCAATGACAAATCTCTAATTTCATGTACGTATTGTCCATACTCCCATTGTCAAAATAATTGTACAACAGTACATAACTGTATATTTTATAATGCGGGGAGTTTTCCAACAAGATATTATACAAACAGAAATTAGCTATCCTCGGGGGCAGACATCCGGGCATTTTCACCGCCTGGCAACCCGCGGCGGTGAAAACAAAGGCCCAAAACTCGCAGAAAGCGGTACTTTAGGGTGATTGTTGAGACTCCTCTGAACAGTGCAACAAGATTAGCCCTACGTGTGTAACATATATAAATTTGATTGTTATGGATTACTTCAAAGTTGAGTTTGTATTGTTTTCTCGAATTTTCACCGGCTCGACCGGCGTTCCACAGCAGCGCGCACAGAGCCCATAGAAATGCATGGTACAGTGGTGCGCGTCTTAGCAACGTGGAACGTCTGTGACGTAGCACCGCCCCCGAGGATAGGGGAACTTGAATACGAGAGTACTTATGCCATGCCGTACCAATGTTTATGCAAGGAGTTACCTGACAGCCAACTTGGCTATCGTTTATGACTATCAAAAACATCGTTTCCGATACACGCTATTTACCTGTGAATACATGATTTATCGATGCACTGCGAGATCTCGTGTATCTTTAGAAAGACGTGGCGGAACGTTTGATGCAAAAATCGACAAATCGGATTTTAAATTTCATTATTTTTTATTGCTCAATGTTGAAATGCCCATTGTTGGGGGGGGGGGGTATTGCGTTGAAATATCTTTAATTCATCCCAAAAATATTTTCGCGTTTGTCGAATCTCACGCGATGTTTTGACGTCATTACAACGCTATGAAGTACCTTTGTTTGTTCTGTTTTACGTTCGATTTCACGCATAACGCGGGATCTAGCAGTGAACCGTCGGAAAATGGTATATTGCACGGGACGTTCGTAACTTCAGTCCCCGGCTTCAGTCACGGTAACTAGTAGACTGAAAGACTAGTAACCGTGTGCAGGCTAACTTCAGTACACCAATATTTGGGGATTTTTTGCCTACCCTACTGATTTGTTTTGTTTCACAAAAATCACGAAGTCATTATGGAGTTCGCATAGTGGGCGTTCTTTCAGTAATTTACTCCTGGGTGTCGGTGTATATCCGAACAATATTTACTATATATATATAATATACTTTATTTCGAGTACTAGCTCATATAAACATAACCAAATTCATTACCGAATTCATTCAGTTCACATACTTATCGCATCCTCGGAGTAATAACAAACGTAGATCCTCGAGAAACATAGCTAAAGTAAACCCCAGCGGCACTAATTAAAGCGGGAGAGTCGTCATCTGCGCATGCGTCATATGGCCGTAGCGTGTCGTATCGTCTACCCATGAGCCTTTGCGTTTTAGCGCGTGTTGTTATCGTCGCTTGGGACTCAATTCCCGCGCGTGCGCAGATGACGACCCTCCCGCTTTAACCACAGCATAACCTGCTACATCAAATATTACCACTGTCCCACAGGAAGTCTGGCGAATTGTTTTAATGGTAGCTAAGGGACGACGTCAAAAGATCGATGTCGGATAAAAAACTTATTTCCTTTAGTTTTGGGGGGGGGGTTGACCTCAAAAAGTTTCCATCCTACAAAATCGATTTTATTTTTTAATGAAGTCAAAAAAATCTTGGAGTATTTGTAGTTTGTTTTTTTCTATCCAATCATGA